TTATTCAGATGTGTGTCCATGTGTCTGGACACAGAATCCCACAGGAGACAGGTAAACCAACCTCAGACAGGTAAACTAACCTCAGATGGGTAAACTAACCTCAGACAGGTAAACTAACCTCAGACAGGTAAACCAACCTCAGACGGGTAAACTAACCTCAGACGGGTAAACTAACCTCAGACGGGTAAACCAACCTCAGACGGGTAAACTAACCTCAGACGGGTAAACCAACCTCAGACGGGTAAACTAACCTCAGACGGGTAAACCAACCTCAGACGGGTAAACTAACCTCAGACGGGTAAACCAACCTCAGACGGGTAAACTAACCTCAGACGGGTAAACCAACTTCAGACAAGTAAACTAACCTGAAACAGGTAATATCCTCCTACAAAACTGTATAATGACTTCATTTTTCTGTCTGCATGTGATTGGCTGATGCAGCACTGTGGGTGGACCTACAGCTTGACAAGATGAAACAGCCAATGGCGCGACGGACCCTGCTGCTGTCAACCAATCAGCCACAGGAGATGATGAAGCTGATGGTTCAGAGGGAAGTGGGCGTGGCCTGTGTGAATCAGACTGCCTACCTGAGGGTGAGTGACAGAAAAGAGACACACAAGATGAACAGGTGAAAAGAGTCACACCTGTGTGTGTGTGTGTGTGTGTGTGTGTGTGTGTGTGTGTGTGTGTGTTAGCAGTCTGAAGAGGAGGTTCGTGATAAATTGAGTCCAATCTTCATCACCGCCAACATCAGCCTCCTCAACACTATCCAGCATGCATTGCTTCATGGACAGACACATGCTGCTGCACAGGTGAGTCTGAGTCACACCCACACACCTGCACTTCAGGCACCAGGTTACTTTTGTTTTCATTCGGTCATCTCATTTATTGACCATCATGTAGATACATGTAACCATGGCAACATGGAGGTGGAGGTCATTACTAGGGTTACTCCATTCAGGTTTTTTTTTCCAGTACCGATAATCTATGAGTGAGATCAGCCGATACCGATCACGTTTGTCATCATTGCAGATGTCATTCGTTCTATTGGTCTCTCACACTTTGTTTTGGCGGTCTGTTGGTGGGAGGCGGGGCTACACCACACAGCTCACAGTGCTTCTCTTGTATTAACCACAGGCGTTTGGTTTGAAGGTGATTGATGACTAGGAGCATTAGTTCAGATCTACCAGCTGATCAATTGGGGCAACCCCTAGTCATCACATCATGTTTCATACTTTGAGTCTGAGTGGATTCTACATGTGAACATTCAGTGTCATTGATGATGTCAGAGAAAAGTGCTGAACAAAAACAGCCTTTTATAACATGACTGCAGGAAGTTAATAACAATGATTCCTGACTGAGTGAAAGGAGGGAAATGACTGATCACTCAAACACCTGGGTAACCTGGACCATCACATCCTGCTCTACCAGAGAGATATACATAAAGATAAACAAATAGTGTGTGTGTGTGTGTGTGTGTGTGTGTGTGTGTGTGTGTGTGTGTGTGTGTGTGTGTGTGTGTGTGTGTGTAGACCAGGATCATTCTGGACTGTGGAGATGACAACATTTGTGTTCCTGACCTGAAGCTGAGGGCTGAGCCGTGAGCAACACACACACACAGAGAAAGAGTTCTGTAGTTTCTGTTGTTTTTAGTTTCTTCACTGATTCCCCTGAAATCTACTGATTTAGTGTGTTAATGTGTGTGTGTGTGTGTTAGGGTGTCAGACAGTGTGTTGGTTGGTGAGGATCAGTCGGTGGTGATTTCAGTGTCGGCAGAAAATGACGGTGAGGGAGCATATGAGACCGAGCTGGTGGTCCGAGTCCCGGAACACACACACTTCCAGAGCAGCCAGGTGAACACACACACACACACACACACACACACACACACACACACACACACACACACACACACACGCACTATATTCAATTAATATTGTGTGTGTGCAGGGTGTGGACAGACTGGTGTGTGTTCAAAGGAAGGAGAATCAGACCATCATTGTGACCTGTGACCTCGGGAACCCGATGAGACAAGGACACACAGTAACACACACACACACACACACATTTATCATAATGATAATAAAGTTAATTTATAGGCCAAACAGGAAACAACAAATAAACAAGAACAAAACCAGTCTCAGGTCACTAACTGTTTGTCCACAGAAAATATTCACCATCTGTGTGAAATCTTCAGTTATGGCTAAAAAGTGTTTTGTGAGGTCACGCTGACCTTGACCTTAGGCCCTTGACCACCAAAATCTAATCAGTCCAGTCCTTGTGAATGGTTTTGCCAAATTTGTTCTGTTGAGGTGCCACTGAGAAATCTAGTCCACGAGAATGAGATGGTCAAAAACAAAATGGCCACTGGCTCTGACTCCATCAGCTGATCTCACTGGTCCAGAGGACACAGTCCAAGTCCACACGTCAGACAGGTGTTCAGGACCAGTTTGAGAGCTGATGCGGTCCTGCCTCTTAGTCCTGGTCCTGAGTCCAGTACATTTGCGTGTCTATACATTAGTGCAATTTTAAATGTACTTTAACCCGTTTATTTATAGGTGTTTGATAATATTGGTTGTGTGCAGCCATGAGCTTTTTGCTTTGTAGTCTTAAAAGATTCTTTTTGAATAATGATCAGATTTCCCTGAGCCTTTAACTATATTGTACATAAGATAGCATTTTGGAAAGACTTAACATAACACATTGATCTATTGAGTCCAGGACCAGGACTAATCACCAGACTCCTGAACAGGGACCAGACATCAAACCCTGAGAACCTGGTTCCTTTGGTATATACTCCATCTATATTGTCTCTCTCTCTCTCTCTCTCTGACCTGTCTCTCTCTCTCTCTCTCTCTCTCTATGACCTGTGTGTCTCTCTGTAGCTGCAGACAGATCTTTTGTTCAGTGTTGGTCGTCTGGAGGAGGTACAACACATCACCTTCAGCCTCAGAATCAGGAGGTACAACCTGTCTCTCTCTCTGACCTGCCTCTCTCCACCTATCTCTCTCTCTCTCTCTGACCTGTCTGTCTGTCCACCTGTCTGTCTCTCAGTAAGAACTTGGTGAACTCCAGCAGTGAGCAGGTCCAGGTCCAGGTCCAGGTGAGGTCTGAGGCGATGCTGGAGATCAGAGGGTAAATCCACAGACAAAGTCTTTGATCCACAAGGGGGCGGAGTCACAGACTCGACATGATGACGTCTCTTTGTGCTTTCAGAGGCTCCTCCCCTCCAGAGGTTGTCCTGCCCCTCCCTGACTGGCAGCCTGCAATGCATCCTGGAAGTTTAGAAGAAGTGGGTCCACTGGTGGAGCATGTTTATGAGGTGAGGTGGAGTGGATCAGATCCAGTCTGAGGACTGGGGGACCTGAGGGTCCAACTCTGAGGGTCTCACAGTCCTGTCTGGTTCTGACATGACCTCAGGTGACCTCATTCCCCATCTTCATCAGCCTGATGATGATGACGATGATAATGATGATATTGGTGGTATTGAATCTATTTATAGTATTCATGACGTTGATTATATTGGTGTGTAGTTGAGGAACCAAGGCCCGAGTGCGGTGAACGCCCGGCTGACGGTGGACTTCCCCTCCACCTGGCAGCATCACCTGCTGCTCTACATCTTCTCCAACGCCTCAGAGGAATCACTGAGCTGCTGGACCCTGAATGCATCACAGATAGACCCCTTCAAGGTCCAAGACCTGTCTCTCGCTGACCTGTCTCGCTGTCTCTGACCTGTCTCTCTCTCCCTCTGAACGGTCTCTCTTTCTCTGACCTGTCTTTCTCTCTCTTCCCTGTCTCTCTCTCTATGACCTGTCCCTGTCTCTCTGAACAGTCTCGCTGTCTCTGACCTGTCTACCTGTCTCTCTCTCCGGTCTCTCTTTCTCTGACCTGTCTTTCTCTCTCTTACCTGTCTCTCTCTCTATGACCTGTCCCTGTCTCTCTGAACAGTCTCTCTTTCTCTGACCTGTCTCTCTCTCTCTTACCTGTCTCTCTCTCTGACCCATGTCTACCTCTCTTACCTGTCTCTCTCTCTGACCTGTCTGTCTCTCAGCTGGCTGGTAACAGGTCCAGTGTGTCTGCAGTGTCTCCCTTGGTCCAGGAGGAGGAGACAAATAGACGAACTGTCAATGTGGTAAATAAATGAATAAACAACATCAACATCATCAAATACATAGTTTATACACCTGAGAGTCTGACCGTGTGTGTGTGTGTGTGTGTGTGTGTGTGTGTGTGTGTGTGTGTGTGTGTGTGTGTGTGTGTGTGTGTGTGTGTGTGTGTGTCTGTGTGTGTGTGTGTAGAACTGCAGCAGCAGTGAGACGGGGTGTGTCAGGTTTGTGTGTGATGTCACAGTGTTGGGGCGGGGCCTCAGCGCTGTTGTCAGAATCTCAGCCCGACTGTGGACACACACTCTCAAACAGGTACACACACACACACACACACACACACAGGTGACGGTGACAAGGTCATGATGTCATCGTGTTCTTTCGCCAGACTCCATACCTGAACTATGAGCTAGTTTCCTCCGCTTCCTATGATGTCATCAACACATCATCAATGGTCCAGCCAACGCTACTTCCGAGTGGACACACACAGGTGCTGACACACACACACACACACACACACATACACACCCACACACACACACACACTTCAATCTGTGGTAAGATCTGTTATTGAACTTTGTGTGTGTGTGTGTGTGTGTGTGTGTGTGTGTGTGTGTGTGTGTGTGTGTAGACTCAGGTCAGTGTGATGTGGCGGCGTCCTGATGGAGAGAAAGAAGTTCCTATTGGTTATATCATCCTGTCAATCATCTCTGGACTCCTCCTCCTGGGCCTGCTCTGTTTCATCTTCTGGAAGGTATCAATCAATCAATCAATCAATCAATCAATCAGTCAAATGATATTAATAACTGGTAACATTTACTTTACTGGAATCTGATTAAAGTTTAATGTCTCTCTCTCCTGGTGTGTGTGTGTGTGTGTGTGTGTGTAGCTGGGTTTCTTTCAGCGAACTCGCCCCCCCACTGATGATGATGAGGGTAATGATGAAGAGCAGCAGCAGCTGGCTGAGCAGGGTCACATGACTGAATAACACTCGCACACACTCTCTCACACACTCTCTCTCTCACACACACACACACACGCTGTCACGTGTGTTGGACATGAACACATGATGACTGCATGATGACAGAGGAGTGTTTGTTTCTGGTGAAGGTCACGACCTCTGGAACTAAAGCCAATCACTTCTCATGTTATTGATCGAGTCTGATCAGATTCCCTGTTATTGACACTGATCAGGGTTTCTGTCAGGATCCTGGATCAAGACCTGGTCCCAGGTGGTTTTAGCAGAGGGCTCAGTCAAACACCTGAGCAGGTGAAAACATCTGAGACTCAGGGGCCCCGCTCACAAGTTTTACATTGACCTTTAAATTAATTTAATTTTCTTAGTGAAATATTATGAATATTATTATAACATATTAACATTTATTAACATTTTATTTTGATTTGTTTTTGAGATTCATTTATTTTGTATTGAATTCTTCTGTTGAACCCCCACGATACCACCTGTAAAGGATAAGTGATATCTTTATGTATTTTTGACATTTTTGTTTATAAAATATATATATATCTTCAGCAGCTGTGTTTGTTTTTATTTTATTGTTGTTATTTACTCTTGAATATTTAATAAAATAAAAACATAATGAAACAGAAGATTGGGACACTTTAAAGGTCTTTATACCCTGGGTATCACCTCTCAGGCAGCACCTCCTCTTCCACAGTGACCCTACCCCCAACACTGATTGGATAACTGTAATTCTAACCTGATGAGTCTCAATACAAACGGAACCGTGTGATTGGTGGAGCAGGTTGGAGGCAGTTCTTAGCCTGTGAGACGGAGCTGAGGGTTTGAAACCCGGCATGCACTCAGGAGGATGAGGAGGATTAGAGCAGATTACAGAGCAGTTTATAACTGCAGAGAAGAAGAGAGAAAACACACCAGTACAGACACAGCCACACTAACTGGACTAAGTGGACCAACCTGGACTAACAGGACTGGACCAGATGCAGTGAACTGGGACCAACTTGTCAGACTTAAATCTAAGTGGACTGAGCTGGGTGGAGGTGGTGGAGGGTTAAAGTGGACTGACCCAGGCTAAACTGGTCCTTACTGGTTCTTACTGGTCCTTACTGGTGTGAGCTGGTCTGGGGGAAGGGAAGTGGACAGATGGATGGTTTCCAGGCGTATGGGGCAGGGAAGGCGGGCGGTGCTTTCGACCCACTGACCTTCATCCGACAACCTCAGACTGTGGTGAGGATCCTCTGCTGGGTGAGTCTGATGATGTAATGATGACGTCCCAGTTTAACAATGAACCTCACTTTTGTTCAAGAGTGTTCAGGGGTGTATTCAGGTGTGTTCAGGTGTTCTGACTGATGACATACTGACTCTGGGAGGAGCTACAGGTACAGGTAGACTGTACCTGTTTTGACAGGTTAATGTTCACACTTTCTTTCTGTGGAATCAGGTTTTGTTCATCAGTTTGATGGATGAATACTACATTACCCATGAGCCTCGGCTGCTGTGTTAATCATAGTAAACTCAAAACTTTTCTTCATCATAGAACAAAACATGTTGCCATGGTTACTAAATTCACAGCTGATCCAGAGGACTTGTGTGTGTGTGTGTTTCAGTCATGAGACTGGTGTTAACATTCCTGAGGTTCAACACAAGACTCCTCAAACAAAACCTCACTGTTTAACTCTGCCTGTGCTCTGATTGGACAGTTTGATGAATATGAGTCACACACAGTCTGTGACGTAACAGACAGTCAGTCACAAACAGACAGTCACAAACAGATGACCACACGACAATACGATTCCCTGAACACGCTGATTCTTCCCCTGCTGTTTCAGAGCAATAAGATCAATGTTGTGATTGGCTGACACTGAAGCCCACACTGTCTGATGTACGAGCACCTTCAGCCTTTTCAACACTTTGTGCAGCTGCAGAAACATGAGCCAGAACAGAGATGAACTCGCCCTCACAGTCTGTGAGACCAGGACCTCCTCCAACTGTTAGCATCCAGCCTCTTCTGCTAAGAATGAATGTATCTGTTAGCATTGAGCTAATTGTCTCCTCTGATCTTAGATCTTCTCCATTGTGATCCTGGGCTGCGTTGCTAACGAGGGTTACGTTAACCGGCCTGAAGAGGTGGAGGAATACTGCATCTTCAACCGTAACCAGAATGCCTGCAACTATGCTGTCGCAATGGGAACACTGTGTTTTCTCTGCAGTGCTGCTCTCTTGGCGCTGGACGTTTATTTCCCACAGATCAGCGGCGTGAAGGACAGGAAGAAAGCCGTCATGGCGGACATTGGAGTTTCAGGTGAGACTCTGCTTCCTCAGGTTCTGTCATCTTTAAACAACCATGTGTAACCTGTGTTCTATGAGTTTAATAACCACGTGTAACCGGTGTTCTCTGCAGTTCTCTGGTCTCTGGTCTGGTTCGTGGGTTTCTGTTTTCTGGCCAATCAGTGGCAGGTTTCTAAAGAAGAAGACAACCCTCTGAATGAAGGAGCTGATGCTGCCCGGGCCGCCATTGTCTTCTCCTTCTTCTCTGTCTTCACGTGGGTATGTACCTGAACTATCACCTGACAGAATACAGCTCGCCAGAACCGTGTCAGAACTTAGCAGCAGCTGTACTATAAGAAGGAGATACCGGACTCAAAGATGGATCTACTCATTCGAATGAAAGCTGTTCAGCGGGTTTACTTTAGTGTAGTGCAGTCCAGTTGAATTTACATTGAGACATCACACATTTTAAAATCAAAGCAAGTTTTACAAACATAAACCTCTTTTGATAAAACATTGTGTACTGTAATAGCTTGTTAACTGTAGATCATGTCCTGTCAACAGTTTTACACATGTGATGATCAGTGGAGGAACCAAATCACATCTATGAATCCATCCATGATCTACAAAGCAGAACAACCACAGAAGAACCTGTCAGGTCTTGGTTTTAGGTTCTGCCTTGTTTTCACTGTGTTTAACAAACCAGAACGTTTCAGATATCTATTGTTGAAAAGGTGATACTGTATGGAGACGCCCGCACAACATTTTTATGTTCTGTTTGGTCAGAGAGTGCAGTTAGTAAAGAGGTTCCTGAGCTCCTAAAACAGCTTCCCAAGTTCCTAAACACTTATCTCAGCTCGTAGAAAGGTTCCAGAGTTTTGAAAATGTTCCTAAGCTCCAAAGTTCCAGAGCTACTCAAATTTTCTTGATCTCCTAAGATGGTCCTGCCATTCTAGAAAAGACTCCTGAGTTCCTCTAAAAAGGTTCCTTATGTGCCTGAAAAAAGGGCACTACATTGGAAAAGGGCTGGTAAGAGGTTTCCTAATGCGTTCTCCTGTTGTGTCTGGCTTCATCCTCAGCAGAACAGCTAATTCTCTTTAAATGGGTTCTCTCTAACAGCTGGTTCTCTCTAACAGTCGGTTCTCTAACAGTCGGTTCCCACTAACAGTTGGTTCTCTAACAGTCTGTTCTCTAAAAGTCGGTTCTCTCTAACACTCGGTTCTCTAAAAGGCAGTTCCTTCTAACAGTCTGTTCTCTCTAACAGTGGATTCTCTCTAACAGTCTGTTCTCTCTAACAGTTGGTTCTCTCCAACAGTCTCTTCTCTAACAGTCTGTTCTGTCTAACAATCGGTTCTACAAGGGATCCTCTCTAATAATTTCCTCTCTCTAACTGCTGGTTCTCTCTAACAGTCTGTTCTCTAAAAGTCGGTTCTCTCTAACAGCCTGTTTTCTCTAACAGTATGTTCTCTAACAGTCTGTTCTCTCTAACAGCCTGTTTTTTTCTAACAGTATGTTCTCTAACAGTCGGTTCTCTCTAACAACTGATCCTCTCTAATAACTGGCTCTCTCTAACAGTCGGTTCTATAACAGTCGGTTCTCTCTAACAGTATGTTTTCTAACAGTCTGTTCTCTAGAAGTCGGTTCTCTCTAACAGTTGGTTCTCTCTAACAGTATGTTTTCTAACAGTCTGTTCTCTAGAAGTCGGTTCTCTCTAACAGTTGGTTCTCTCTAACAGTATGTTTTCTAACAGTCTGTTCTCTAGAAGTCGGTTCTCTCTAACAGTTGGTTCTCTCTAACAGTATGTTTTCTAACAGTCTGTTCTCTAGAAGTCGGTTCTCTCTAACAGTTGGTTCTCTCTAACAGTATGTTTTCTAACAGTCTGTTCTCTAGAAGTCGGTTCTCTCTAACAGTTGGTTCTCTCTAACAGTATGTTTTCTAACAGTCTGTTCTTTCTAACAGTCTGTTCTCTAAAATTCGGTTCTTTCTAACAGTCGGTTCTCTCTAATAGCCTGTTTTCTCTAACAGTATGTTCTCTAACAGTCGGTTCTCTAATAGTCTGTTCTTTAACAGTCTGTTCTCTGACAGTCGGTTCTCTAATAGTTGGTTCTCTAACAGTCTGTTCTCCAACAGTTGGTTCTCTAACAGTCGGTTGTCAACCTTTAATTTCTTTCTAACAACATGTTGTTGTTGGAGATAAAATGTATATTTAAAGATGTGTAACATGTTTATTTCTTTTTGTTTATTTCTCTTTGTTTGTTTGTGTTTGTTTGTGTGTTTGTCTGTCTGACCTGTCTCTGTGGTTTTGTGATTTATTGTGTTTCTTTTCATGTGTCTGTGATATGTTGTGTATTTATGTGTGATATTGTGCATGTTTATATAAATGTATTTGTGTGTTATGTTGTGTGTATTTGTGATATGTTGTGTAGGGAGGTCTCACTCTGCTGTCACTGGAGCGTCTGAAGAGAGTGTCTTTCGAAGAAGAATACAACAAACTGTTCAGCCCTCCACTTGCCTGAAACGCACGCACACACACACACACGCACACACGCACGCACGCACGCACGCACGCACGCACGCACGCACGCACGCACGCACGCACGCACGCACGCACGCACGCACGCACGCACGCACGCACGCACGCACGCACGCACGCACGCACGCACGCACGCACGCACGCACGCACGCACGCACGCACGCACGCACGCACGCACGCACGCACGCACGCACGCACGCACGCACGCACGCACGCACGCACGCACGCACGCACGCACGCACGCACGCACGCACGCACGCACGCACGCACGCACGCACGCACGCACGCACGCACGCACGCACGCACGCACACACACACACACACACACACACAAACACACACACACACATGCACGCAGACCTACCTAACGTCACTTTTCTCCTTTAGCTAATCAGAGACAAGAATTCCTCTGCCTCCTCCTCCTCCTCAACTCAGTCAGGACTCTGATTGGTTGATCTAAGTGCCTGTCATCCAAAGTGCCTTCCTGTTACCATGGTAATAAAGTGATGCTGGTTTCCTCCTCAGATGTCAGAGCTGAAAAAAGTTAATGTTCTTACAGTGATGTCATGATGCTTGATGATGTCATAATGTATCCTGATTAAAGACAGTTTAACTTTAAGAGTTAATGTGATGTGTGTTTCTCTGTGATTGTGTGTTTGAGTGTGTGTGTGATCTGGTGTGTATAATTCTGTAAGTGTGTGCTACCCTCTGCTGACTCTTTGATGTCACTACAGTCATCTTTGTCATAATGATGTCATCAGATGAAATCAGATTGATATGTTAAAGGTGAAAGTCACTCGTCTCAGCAGCAGAGAATAAATACACTTGATCTTTCAGCATCTTTTTGAGTGAAAAGAGGGAAATAAAAGTCGTCATCTCCCTCTTATCTGGATCCGGGTCGCGGGGGCAGCAGCCTCAGCAGAGAGGTCCAGACGGCCCTCTCCCCAGCCACTTCCACCAGCTCCTCCAGGAGAATCCCGAGGCGTTCCAAGGCCAGCCGAGAGATATAATCCCTCCAGCGTGTCCTTGGTCGACCCCGAGGCCTCCTCCCGGTGGGACATGCCTGAAACACCTCCCCGGGGAGGCGTCCAGGAGGCATCCTCACTAGATGCCCGAACCACCTCAACTGGCTCCTCTCGACATGGAGAAGCAGCGGCTCTACTCCGAGTCCCTCCCGGATGACCGAGCTCCTCACCCTATCTCTAAGGCTGAGCCTGGCCACCCTGCGGAGGAAACTCATTTCGGCCGCTTGTACTCGCGATCTCGTTATTTTGTTCATTACCCAAAGCTCATGACCATAGGTGAGGGTTGAAACGTAGATCGACCGGAAAATTGAGAGCTTCGCCTTCCGGCTTAGCTCCCTCTTCCCCACAACGGACCAATTCAGCGTCCGCATCACTGCTGACGCCGCCCCAATCCGCCTGTCGATCTCCTGCTCCATCCTACCCTTACTCGTGAACAAGATCCCGAGATACTTAAACTCCTCCACCTGAGGCAAAGCCTCCCCCCCGACCTGAAGCGGGCAATCCACCCGTTTCCGGCTGAGAACCATGGCCTCAGACTTGGAGGTGCTGATCTTCATCCCAGCCGTTTCACACTCGGCTGCAAACCGCCCAAGCGAGAGCTGAAGGTCGGCGCTCGATGAAGCTAAGAGGACCACATCATCTGCAAAAAGCAGAGACAAGATCCTCCCGCCACCGAACCCAAACCCCTCCACCACCCGGCTGCGCCTAGAAATTCTGTCCATAAAAGTTATGAACAGAACCGGTGACAAAGGGCAGCCCTGGCGGAGTCCAACCCTCACCGGGAACAGGTCCGACTTACTGCCGGCTACGCGAACCAGACTCACACTCCTTTGGTACAGGGACTTAATGGCCACTAACAAGGGGCCATCCACCCCATACTCCCGGAGCGCCCCCCACAGGGAGCCCCTGGAAAAACAATAAAAACATTAGCTCATGTTGTAATGATGATGATGTAATACACCAATTAGCATATATAGACATCATCACATTGTATGATCATTCAGTCTAGTTGGTGACATCATATCCTCTATGATCATGTGTCAGTGTGTTTGTCTGACAGAAGCTCAACATTGACTTTTATCTAGTTGTAAGTCACAGACACTTTTTACTCCTTGGTGGTTTTCAGCTCTATATTTGAACCAGATGATTTTAGTCATCAGACGTCTGGATCTGAAAGTATCAGGAACAAGCTGAGGAAATGTTAGACAGCTCAGCTCCCAGCTGTTGGAGACGTCCTCTCCTGTGTCACTGAAGAGTGAATCTCTGATGTTTAAAGTCAAACTGTTTTATTCAGTGTTTCTACTGGTTTTAATCCCCTGGTCTGTTTGTTATGGAGAGGAGGAAACCTCTATGGATAATTCAGCTGCTGGTAAAAACTTCCTCAATGTCTGGTTCATAGGTTATCAGAGAAACAATCAGAACAAAGGTTAGCATCAATCCAACCTCTCTAACCCTAACCCTGATGTCTCTGTCTTCCGTACAGCGTCAGTGAAACACAATCACACACACACACACACACACACATATATGTGTATATATATATATATACATATATATATAATCAGCTGGTGTGTTTGTTGTGGAGAGGAGGAAACCTCTTTGGATAATTCACCTTCTGGGAAAAACCTCCTGAACCACTGACACTGAAGGAATCAAACCAGGAGAAGCTGAAGACTACAAATCCCATGATCCCACGCTACTTCATGATGTCACCAAACACTTTGTTGTGATTGACAGAGCTCTAGAGGCAGAAGTCTGGCTGTGTATTTAAATCCAGGTAGGGTATGCTGCACTGGACAGTGACTGGCCCAGACAACAAACAGATTTAAAGAAACTTCATGTAGAGAACAGAAGAAAAGAAACCGTAAACACAAAATACAACAGGTGAAACCAGCAGGTAGGACGTTAAGATGTCATCATACAGTATTAATAAAGTTTTGTCATTTGAATCTCTCTGCAGGCTGTCCAGGGTCTGCTGGGGCTCTACAGGTTTAAACTGGGGGCCAGCAACGTCACCTTCAATCAGGACTACATAGACCCTAACCAACAGAACCCTGAGGCTCCTCCCACTGAGGAGTAGAGGCTCCGCCCATCGACGAGTAGAGGCTCCGACCACCCATGAGTAGAGGGGGGGCTTGAACAGTGATACATTCTGGGTAGTTGTGTATTGTGATGGGTCATATTTAGGAAACAGAATTGGACTAAAAAATTACCAGGTTTATAGTCCGATGATGTCACTCACCAGGGGGCGTGTACTCTCCGTCAGTAGCCATTCAGAGTTCAGAACATGAGTGAAGAATAAACAGTCTGATTTTAAACGCACACAGAGTTCATTGGAAAGAAAACCATTTCCTCCCAACAATGCTACTTTGTTAGCAAAATGTGCTAACTATCTGTAAGCAGCAAAGGTTAGATGCCCAATCAGACAAATCAGATGATTATCCTAAGTTAGCCACTGAGCTATCATTTATTAGCTCTCTGGCTAATGTTAGACATAATTCACCAGTTTATTAAGCTAGCTTTCGGGCTAAAGCTAGTTTTATTGATTGTTATTATTTGTTGTTTTATGTTTGTTATTCAATAATTCAAAAGACAAAAACAAAGTGAAATTAAAGATGTGTGAAATTAATTTTGTTTCCTCCAATTCTTAAAGTAAAATATCAGACATTTTAACCCTGGTGAAATGACAGGATCAGGTCTGTAACAGACACGGACAAAGCCAAAATCCTCCATAGGGGGGCACCACAGAGCTGAAGGGGGGGGGGGGGGGGGGGGGGGGGGGGGGGGGGGGACACTGTGAACTGAGTCAGACCTGAACCACGTGTTGATCTGGTTCAGTGTGACATCACTTCCTGATGATGTCATTATCTCTGATGTCCATCCAGAATAAAAAAGAGTCTGCAAAACTTCAGTCAGAATCCTCGTGTTTTTAAGTTTTTTCAGTATCACACTAAAACATGATACACTGACAGCTGATCACAGCTGATCACAGCTGATCACTGCTGATCACAGCTGATCACTGCTGATTCAGACTGAAGATCACAGCTGATCACAGCTGATCACTGCTGATCACTGCTGATCACAGCTGATCACTGCTGATCACTGCTGATCACAGCTGATCACAGCTGATCACTGCTGATCACTGCTGATCACAGCTGATCACAGCTGATCACTGCTGATCACTGCTGATCACAGCTGATCACAGCTGATCACTGCTGATCACTGCTGATCACAGGTAACACAGGTGGTACAGGTAACAAAGGTGGTACAGGTAACACAGGTGGTACAGGTAACAAAGGTGATCCAGGTAACAAAGGTGGTACAGGTAACAAAGGTGATCCAGGTAACAAAGGTGGTACAGGTAACAAAGGTGATACAGGTAACAAAGGTGGTACAGGTAACAAAGGTGGTACAGGCAACAAAGGTGACATTAAATATGTAGCGTTAACACCATATTTTAGGATTTACTCTCGTTGAAATGGGGCACCAGTCCTCTGGGAGGACAACAATGAATTACTTCATTGCCAAATTTATCAATCTCATATCAGAAGCCATGACTTCTCGATTCAATAGATCTCCAGTCTCTACATCAAAAGAATACAACAGGACAACACAGGGTGTAAATAAAGGAGTTTATTAACTAAACTACTATCTACAGAGTAAATGCAAGGTGTAATAATCATAAAGATGAAAATAATAATGAAATGAGCAGTGTGATGAGTTGGCAATGGTGGGAGAGAATATGTTATGGCTGTACACTATGGCTATACAGCTAATGATGCTACGTCTACGAATTAGGTTTGATGATTAAATATTGCTATATTTCGACATCAACCCAGTCATGAGCAGAGTGTTAAGACCGGCCTACTGTGAGTTGCGCTGTAGCTGAAGACCCTCGGCTGGAACCCAGGTGGCTGTGGTTGCCGTGGTAACCCTGGAGACGCGGGATCTAGGTGGATTCTCCTGGAGGCCGTGTCCCGTTATCACGATGACGGATTCTGCCGGTGTCTCAGCGGTTCAGCTCTGGTGGAGTTTGCCAGGAGACTTTCTGTCTCGGGCACTCTTGATTTCTGCTCGGCTTCTCTGCAGGCGGTCGTGCAGATGTTATCTGCTGGTGTCTCTTGCGGGTTGATGCGAAATAAACTCTAATGCTCTTCACTTTGGCTGGATAACTTTAGAGGAGACTGGCGTTGACCAGATGACTCTAAAGTTGTCAAAATCTTCAAAAAGGAAAACTTGATGATGATTTAAAAGTTACAAAATTACTCTGAGGCACTTCTGTTGCTTTGGTTCAGTTGGTCTTGACTTGGCTTATAAAAATAAAAGATCGCGCATGTAGACAAAAATCATGTTACTTGGAGCTTGTGGCAAAGAAAAATAAAAGACGCGAAAAGTGCAAAAATGACTAAGAGCCATGAGTTTGTGGCTAGCAGCTTAGAGCTAAGAGTTTACATGGCTACAGAGCCGGGCTTTGAGCCGGGACTCTGAGCTTTGAGCAAAGATCTCAGCTTCTAGTTTCTGCATCGTTTTCTAGCTTCAGCTTTTCAGCCTCTAGCTTTTAGCTTTGTTTCTCGCATCTTCTTCCTTCTTAGCATCTGGGTTTCTCTCCTCTGACTTCTGACCAATGTGTGAATTGATCACGACTGTTTTATCCCCTGGGGGCTGGTGCATGTTTCATGGGCGTCACCCATCTTCTCCTGTGTTTCCACTTGGAGAAGAGAGTAATTTTCCACTGAACTTTGGAATAATTTAATTCTAGAGTTTACTTATAAACTCGCACATCCGTCTTCCACCATGACCACAAAACATTAAGTGAAATAACATATAAAAGTACTTGCACTAATAATGGCAGAGAGGAGTAATAGGAGTGTTGATTTCATATACATCCTTCAAACCTGAAATTTAATCATGATACAAGTGGTTAATTGATCAAACAACAATATAAACATTTCCCAAAGCTAATAGTCTATAAATGTGGATTACACAGCAGTTCTTTGACTGTAATAATAATAATATGGACATGCTGGATGTCATGTAGTGTGTGTTCCCTCGTGTGAAGGATGCTGACAGTTATGGTTCCAGGAAGGACATTGTCTTAAAATCTACATGTTACATTTCAAACATTCTATGGGATAGAAGTTTGGGATTAAACTATTGCATAGGAACATCTCATGAGTTACAGAACAGCTAGATATTTAATTCTACATTCTTCCTCAGATCTGTGTCTATGAAGAGTTCTGCTGGTCACTACCCAGGATTGGAATGTGGGTCGAAGTTTATGTCTCTTATCTAGAGAGGGACAGAGGAAGGGAGGTTGGTGTGTGTGTGTGTGTGTGGGTGTTCATGCATGGCACAGAGAGGCCAGGATTCACACCTTAGTGTTAATCAGTCCTTTTGTTGTTACTTGACCTATACAAGAAACAATCAAATATCATTAGACAAAGTCTTATTGTTACAAACTGGAGATTTTGCCTATATTCTCCAGTTGTCTGGTGTCCATTGGTTGATCCTCTGGAGCTGACCCTTTGACCTTTGGTCTGGTTCTGTGTCGTTCGGACATGCTAACAGCATGGTCTGTTTGTGGAAGAGGGGTCCTTTGTCTCTGTTTCCTATCAATGTGATAGTTTGATGGTGAGAAGAGTCGCAAAGTGTCAACTGTGGGTCAGTAACTCTGCATGTCCTTACAATGAACTTCCTTAATGGCTTGTGACTGATGCCAGGCCAGGTATGTACGCTACATAGGTAACAAAGGTGATCCAGGTAACACAGGTGATCCAGGTAATAAAGGTGGTACAGGTAACACAGGTGATCCAGGTAATAAAGGTGGTACAGGTAATAAAGGTGAGTGTCTCATCACAGACACTGACTGCTCTGTCTGTTCATTCATGAAGTGCAGCTGTGGTTTTCTCTGGTCCTGGTCCTGGTCCAGTCAGACCTGGACTCATCAGAGAAGAATGAAGCATTAAATTAACTCTGCGACTGCTGTGACTCACTGTCATGTCTTTGAATCAGAGCTGATTCACTTTGTTGACAGTCTGAACCTGACTGAGGAGGGAAAGTGAAAGTAAAACTCTGACCCGGTTTGACTTTAACAGTCACACTGGATCAGTTTGTCAGTCAGCGACCAGGACCAGGACTGGTTCTTCAGATCTACTAATCCACACTAACATGTTGTTGTCACGCTAAACACGATAGTTTATTCTCATCCCGCCTGAACACCATTGCGCTCTTATTTTGAAGTTATATAAGCCATACACTTCAGTGGTTTCTGTGAGTGTTAATGTAACTACAGGTAAACAGTGTCATAAACTGTAATTAAATAATTTACTTTAATTAAAATAATAGTAATAACGTCAGAATGTGATGAATCTTTAGAGCATGTTTTCTGTTTCCCTCACTTTTGACCAGCTTTGTGTCTTTTTCATGTCAAATATTATTTTGTTGTTTTTATTCCTCTGTGCTGGCGACCATTTTCTTTTCAGGCCATCCGTCCATCCGTCTCATTCTCATGGACACGATATCTCAGTAACGCCTTGAAGGACCTTATTCAAACATTCACCTGGACTCAAGGATGAACTGACAATGATTCATTTTGTTGGTCAAAGTTCAAAGGTCAAGGTCAGTGTGACCTCACAAAACACTTTTTAGCCATAACTCACTCAAGACTTCACACAGATGGTAAATATTTTCTAGGACTGTGGACAAACAAGATGTGACCTGAGACTGGTCTGAGGGGAGGAGGAGGAGATTCTAGTTTTCAGTATTTAACTCTTTAGTGTGAAAATTAAATAAAAATATGAGAAATGAAGAGTTTCTGAACAATCTTCATCTCCTCATCTAAACTCATCGCATCAATCATTCTTTCTTCAAATTCATCTTTTATTTATTTTGTGCTGCTGATGCACATGAAGATCTTCTGAATAAAACCAGTCGTGGCAGGTTTAGTCTCTGTGGTTTGTGAAGATCATCATATAGTATGATGTGAAGTTATTAAAGTTGCAAAGAGCCCCTGTGTGTCACATCCTGTTTTATTTTGAAATAATTCACCTTATGAGTTTATTGTTGTTTCATTTCCTGTATTTGTGATTTTTTTCAGGTGGCAGAACGTTGTGTTTGGGTTCTGCGTTTTCTCTGGTTCTAACAGCATCAGCTCTGTGTGTGTGTAACAGAAGAACATGTTGAACTCAGTGGAACCTGTGGATAGAACCTGAGTTCTATGTGTTTAATGTGCTAATGTGTTTCCACAAGTTGAATGTGTTCAGACATGTTGTATTACAGTGTGTGTGTGTGTGTGTGTGTGTGTGTGTGTGTGTGTGTGTGTATTTGAGCTAGAGATGGAAGCTG